CAAGTGGCAGCAACTAAGGGAAGATGTAGAGTGAGTAATGTCCAGTTATGGCAAAGTCTATCATGAGCAGAAACGTAGTGTTGGGCCTGTTAGAATGTTCTTTGCAGAGGAATTCTTGCTATGTGGGTCAGTTGGTTATGTTCATATGAGTTAGTTGTTAAAGTTAGTGGAGTCCTATAATTATGTTTTTTATAAGGTAGTTACTGGAGTCATGTAACGGTGGGTTTAGTGGGTAGTTATCTATACTTGTTTGTAAGCTATTTAAGTCAGTTTTATTAATGAAAGATTATCCTATTTTGCAAGCCAGAAATTGGTATTGGAGGTTGGCCCCTCGAAGAGCCTGTTTTCTATCTTCTCAAATTTTCAGTCCCTAACAGGTGGTATCGGAGCCACCGTTTCTCCATGGCTGAGGTAATTCGTTTTACCAGCTATCTGAAAGTGTTCCCTAGTTAAAGAATGAGCAAGAGGAACTAAAAGGAGCCCAAGTCCAGCAGCAAGTTTTACTTGAAGAGCTAGTACAACAAGTGAGTAACCTTACAACCAGTTACGCTTCTATGTCCCAAGCAATTAATCAAAACAGAGCCAACCCTCATTACCTACAAAATAACAACCCCATTAGCAGCCAAACACAAGAGCCACTCCCAGATTTGCACCTACCACATACTTCTCATGAAAATCCTGTATTTGAGGGGCAAGGTGGGATTCAAGGTCGTACTCTTCGATTGGATTTCCCCAAATTTGATGGCCATGATCCTACTAGATGGATTTTTCATACCCAACAGTTCTTTGCTTACTACCACACCCCTGATGTTCAAAAAATCCAAATTGCCTCCTTCCACATGGAGGGCAAAGCTTTGACTTGGTACCAATGGCTACGAGACTCTACACTGATAACAACTTGGGAAGGGTTGATCTAGGCTTTGAAGGTGAGGTTTACCCTTACCCCTTTTGATGATCCAGTTGCAGAGTTCTCAAAACTTCGGTAAACAACAACGGTGGAGGAATATCAAACCCAGTTTGAAATCCTCTCTAACAAAATCATAGGGCTTACGGAAGAATTTCGGTTTAGTACCTTCATTAGTGACCTTAGAGATGATATAAGAGTTGTGGTTACCATGTTTCACCCTACCTCTTTAACCACTGCCTTTGGCCTTGCCCGATTACAAGAGGAAATAGTTTGGCATCGCAATCACAGCCCAAGACCTTCCCCTCTTTCCCATTCTACTTTGAACTCCTACCCTGGAATCCAAAACAATTAACTAAGGTTACCTGGTCCTCCTAACCCTTTCAGATTATTTGGTCCATCTAATCCAACCCCAGCCTGACAAAATTACCCCAATACCACCATGAGTCCTAAACCCAACTTACCTGTCCAGTGCATCTCTTTAGTCCAAATGAAGGAAAGAAGGGAACATGGGTTATGTTATTATTGTGATGATAAATGGTCCAAGAGCCACAGGTTCAAGAGACCCAAGATTTTTCTCCTTGAAGGTATGGAGGAAGAAGGAGGTGAGGAAGGATCAGAGGAGGTGAGTGCAACCATTGCAAATGAAGGAAAACAAGTAGATGATGACGAAGGGGCAAGGTTACCGGAGATTTCCCTCCATGCTATCACAGGAGCTTATGCTCCTAAAACTATGAGGTTACTTGGGAAAATTAATAACCAAGTTGTGGTGGTACTCATCGATATAGGAAGCACCCATAGTTTTGTGGATTACAAGGTAGCAAGAATGGTGAAATTGCTAGCACATGAGAGGAGAAATTTAACAGTCATGATGGCAAATGGAGAGAAAAATTCTTGCCTTGGTTGCTATGAGGAAGTCCACTTCTCACTACAGGGGCAGCCCTTTTCCACCACCCTTTTTTTCTTGACCCTGGGAGGTTGTGATTTAGTGCTCAGAGTTAACTGGTTAAGAACATTAGGACCCATTCTTTGGGACTTTGCTCGGCTGACAATAATTTTCCTTTGGGATGGAAAACAAGTGCAGTTATAAGGGCTTAATCCATAAGAATTACAAGTAAAGAAAGTACAGCAGAGCCAACAAGAATCACAACAAAGGCCTAATTTTGCAACTCATTGAGCCACAATTAGAGGCCCAAAGCTATTGTGAGGTACCAGAGGTGCAGAGACTCTTAGCTGAATTTGGGAAGTTGTTTGAGGAACCAAAAAGATTGCCCCCTTCCAGGGAGCAAGATCACAGGATCCCTCTAGCTGAAGGAACCCAACCAACGTGTGTTCGGCCCTACCGCTACCCTTATTAAAAAAAAGAGGAGACCGAACAATTGATCAAAGGGATGCTAGAGACGAGAGTAATTCGACCTACCAAAGCCCTTATTCCTCTCCAGTCCTGCAAGTAAGGAAGGCTGATGGCAATTGGCGCATGTGTGTGGACTACCAAGCACTCAATCAAGTCACAATCAAAGATAAGTATCCTATTATTGTCATCGATGAGCTCCTATATGAACTCCATGGGTCAACCATTTATTCTAAGCTAGACTTGAGGGCTGGTTACCACCAAATCAGGGTGTGCCCAGATGATGTACCTAAGACTGCGTTCCGCACACATGAGGGGACTATGAGTTTTTAGTGATGCCATTCGGGCTCACTAATGCCCCATCTACCTTCCAGGGGCTCATGAACGAAATGTTCAAACCATACCTACGCAATTTTGTATTAGTATTTTTTGATGACATACTGGTTTTAAGTAAAGACTTGGCAGACCATCTAAGGATAGTTTTGGGAATCCTCGAAGAGAATCACTTGTATGCGAGGCTGTCCAAATGTAGATTTGGGTGTAGTGAAGTTGATTATTTTGGGATATCTTGTCTCGGGCCAAGGAGTTAAGGCGGATCCAACCAAGATTTCTAGTATGGTTAGTTGGCCTATACCCACCACTATTCGAGCTCTCAGAGGATTCTTAGGTCTTATCGGGTACTACCACAAATTTGTAAAAAGTTATGGCAGTATTGCAGCACCCCTCACGACCCTCCTGAGAAAAGATTCATTCCAGTAGTCTGATAAGGCTACCGAGGCTTTTAATCGGCTCAAGCGTGCAATGTCAACAACACTAGTTTTGGGGTTGCCCGACTTCTCAAAACCATTTGTCATTGAATGTGATGTGTCCTGGTTGGGTATTAGAGTAGTACTCATGCAGGAAGGAGGCCTTTGGCATATCTTAGTTAGGCCCTCAAGGGCAAAAATCTCCACCTCTTAACCTATGAGAAAAGCTTCTTGCCCTAGTCATGTCAGTGAAGAAGTGGCAGCCATATTTATTGGGACAAAAATTCAAAATCAAAACAGGCTAGCAGACACTTAAATATTTGGTGGAACAGAGGATTAGAACTCCAGCTCAGCAAAAATGGGTCACCAAGCTGATTGGCTATGACTTCATCATTGAGTACAAGGTAGGCAAAAATAACCGAGTAGTGGACGCCTTATCCAGAATACATCAAGACAATGAATCAGCCCACTGCAAGCAATTACTGAACGCATTAGACAGTGGACTGACAAGGTGAAGACAACTTATCAACAAGATTTGCGGCTAGCAACCTCTTAGAAAAGCTTCAAGCAGGGGTGTCGACGGATGGTAAACTCAAATTGTGGAATGGGCCAATTTTTTATAAGGGGCGCATTCACTTGGGGTCCCTCACAGAACTCCAAGAACAACCTCTACAGCAAATGCATGATAGTCCATTAGAAGGGCATTCTGGATACCATAAAACTCTGGCGAGGGTAAGGAAAGAATTCTAATGGCTTGGACTAAGGGCGGAAGTGCGAAGATACATTAGGGAATGTGAAGTCTGCCAAAGAAATAACCTCGAACACCACTATCCTGCATGTCTCCTTCAACCCCTACCCATACCAAACCAAATATGGATTGACATCAGCATGAATTTCGTAGAAGGACTTCCTACTTCTTATGGAAAGAGCGTTATCATGGTGGTGGTTGACCGACTATCAAAGTATGCTCATTTCATAGCCCTTGCCCACCCTTACACAGCAAACACAGTGGCTGGACATTTCCTCGATATTGTTTTAAAACTCCATGGTTTGCCGAAAACTATAGTAAGTGATCGAGATTCAGTTTTCACTAGTCATTTCTGGCGAGAACTGTTCAAGTTGCAAGGACCTCTGCTTACCACCCACAGACTGACGGTCAATCGGAAGCAGTCAACCAGAGTTTAGAAGGCTACCTCAGACGATTTTCTGGAGAAAAGCCTAAAGATTGGGTTAAATGGGTTGCATTAACAGAATGATGGTACAATACCAGTGAACATGCCTCAACAAAAACAACGCCCTTTGAAGCAGTGTATGGATACCCTCATCCACAACTTTTATAATATATTCCTGGTACCACACATGTTGAAGCAGTAGAAGAAACACTCTGAAGTCGTGATTAGACTTTGGCCATTCTCAAGGATAACCTTCAAGAATCACAAGATCGAATGAAGAAATTTGTTGATTTGAGAAGAACAGAGCAAAATTTTGAAATCGGTGAATGGGTTTACCTTCGATTGAAGCCTTATCGTCAGCTCTCTATTGCAACTTGTCGCAATCAAAAGCTCTCGCCACGCTATTATGGACCATTTCAAGTGATAGGAAGAATTGGGAAGGTGGCATATCGGTTGGATTTACCCCTAGAAACACGCATACATCCTGTATTTCATGTTTCTTGTCTTAAGAAACATTTGGGATCTTGATTGACAGCCTTACCCACCCTTCGACCAACTCAGCCAGATGGGTCATTGTATCCAGAACCTGAACAGATTCTACAAAGGAGGTTTCAACAGAAAGGGAATCGAGCTACCACAGATGTCTTGGTTAAATGGATAGGGATGGGGGAAGAAGATGCGACATGGGAGGAGTACGTGAGCTTTCATAGGAGGTATCCTAACCTTATGGACAAGGTCTTCAAAAGGGGGGAGTCTTCTGTCATGTATCCTAAGTCTTCTCCAACCTTTCCAAGTGACAACAACAAAGGGAAGATGTAGAGTGAGTAATGTCCAGTTATGACAAAGTCTATCATGAGCAGAAAAGTAGTGTTGGGCTTGTTGGAATGTTCTCTGCAGAGGAATTCTTGCTACGTGGGTCAGTTGATTATGTTCATATGAGTTAGTTGTTAAGAGTTAGTGGAGTCCTATAATTATGTTTTTTACAAGGTAGTTACTAGAGTCATGTAACGGTGGGTTTAGTGGGTAGTTATCTATATTTGTTTGTAAGCTATTTAAGTCACTTTATTAATGAAAGATTATCCTATTTTGCAAGCCAGAAATTGGTATTGGAGGTTGGCCCCTCGAAGAGCCTGTTTTCTATCTTCTCAGATTTTCAGTCCCTTACATCTTCTGTTTGTGTAATTGCAAAAAAAAGTGTGATTTTGAGGTTGAATGATTGAACGATTGCAAGTGGGTTTGGGTAATTTAGCATTGCATTGGGTCTGCAATTTTTTTGATTACTTCCCATCAATCTCATTTTTCTTTGACTTTTTCCTCGTTTGCTGGACGATTCTACCATCTTGTTTGAGTTTGTTGCAAAAATTGGGGACTTTTTTGAATGGGTTCTATGTCAAGCATGTTAATTCATCTACGATCCATGACAAATTCGCATATTCCATAATCTTAATGCCCGGTTTTGCTTAGTCAAATTCTCGAATTCATAAATTTGAATCCGCTAATTCGATAGCTTGACGACCTCAAAGTACGAATTCGCATGAGTAGAGATAATGCGCAGGTCAATATGGACGAATTATGTGACTCGGGGTGCCCACCATAAAATACACTTTTGGTCCCTAAAGTGTACACTTGATGTCTATCCTTCAATTGTGTCAATTTCGTTCCTACGGTTTCTAATTTGTATCTATGGGGTCCAATCTCAAATGTCTGTAAACAATTCGTCAATGGCTTCAATCATGTGGAACTCAATAGACACAAATTCAGAAATTTAGGGACCAAATAGATACAAAATTTGGAATAACGTGATTGACGCGTGTCCAAAATAGCTACGATTTTTTTACAGACGTTTGAGGTTGGACTACATACATACAAATTAGAAATCTTAGGACAAATAAGCACAATTAAAAGATTGAGATATGAAAAACATTACTCAATAAATAAATGGACACAAATTTGTTAAATATAACTTTCAAAAGATATAAAAACAATACAACACGATTTTTGTTATGCATAATTATAAATAAATCAAGAATAAATTAAATAAATTTTGATATAATATAATTTAGACACGATTCGAATGAATAGGCAGACCAACCAAACCTCTCTCATCCTAACATAGAGTGGGAGAAGGCTTTTTGTGAAAGAAGCGGACAATTCCGTAATTGCACTTCCGATACGCGTGAAATGTTGAAACCCATTGCTAGATTTTACTGAATACCCACACAACGTTCTCAGAAAGAGATTACAAAATATTTAAATCATTGATTAGATAAAGTAGTCTATAGAAATAGAAATATACGTCGAACATCCACTCACAACCCATACTTTTGTTTCTTTTATAGTAGTGTGTGAGTCTGTTCTTATGTATGCCTTTTTTCCCCAGATTCCCCAAAGTCTAAAATTCAAAACAAGAAGAAGAAGTAATTTTTTTTCTACCTGTTGTCTCGTTTATATCGAGGCTTCTGGGTATGTAAATTCACAATTCTAGGTATGTGAATTTTTGAATTTGTTGTTCATTTTTGCTGGTTTTAACTATTTCTTTCTAGGTTTGTGAAATTGAGTGATTTTGGATTGATTTAGGAGGAAAAAGAGGATGGATAGTAATAACTGGAGGCCAGCTGCTCAAGGTGTTGAGCAGATGGCGATTGACGCCGGCGATTGGAGGAGTCAGCTGCAGCAAGATTCTCGACAGAGGATTGTTAACAAGATGTAATTTGGCCAACCCATAATTGAGTTTTATATTAAGTACTCAATTCCCTTTTGTCTCTTTTAGTTTTTGGTGAAGTTATATCAGCTCACACGTAGATGATGTGCAATGCCCTTATATTTCTTTAATGAGTAACTTTGCTGCTTTTAAAATGGGGTGGTTGTGATATGCTTGCTGATGTTAGTTTTTCGTTTTTTTTTATAAAATATGTTAGTGATACAATTCTAAGTTTGTGTTGAGAAAAGCACAAAAAAAGGGCTGACTGAAAATGCATATATCAAAGTGGTGATGTTAATGATGATGTTGAATGCATAAGAAAAGATATTCCAATTTTCATGCACTATGTAGATGAATTTATGGGTACATCTGTATCTAGGTTCAGATTTGTGTTTAGTCCTGTGGGAATGTTGGACCATGATAATGGGTGTTGCTGAGTACAGTTGGAATTTGATGCTACTTGCACTTCAAACAATAATAGTTCCCAAACATCTAGTGTAGTTATGGTCTAAACATGTGCTAAGTTGTCTCACCCATTTGGTCTAATTATTGATATGAACCTGTTTATCTCCTTGTTGATGCACTTTGCACAAATTAATGCATCAAGGGAAGATTCCTGATCTTCCATGACACAATGAGCAAGGCCAGGATGAAACTCTTTCAAGCACTAATTACCCCAAAACAAAAAAGAAAATAAAACAAACCCAAGCTAGCATTTGAATGCTCTATTGTACCTCCTCTTCATGTATTGTGTTTGAGTGTATATGTTACGTTACATCCACTCCAATAGTTTAACCTTTTGAAGTATTTGAAAGTGTAACATGGTATCAGGGCACAAGGTTATGCGTTCAAATTAACTGTTAGCTTGATAATTAAAATACTTGCACCTCCTTGGCTAAAATTCTAGCCTGCGTGTGAGGAATATGTTAAAGTATAAAAATTCTTATGTTACATCAACTATAACAAGCGGCTTTTAGAATAGTTTGGGGTTTAATAGATTGCATTGTCTCTTATTGTTCGGTGGCACCAATATGAATTTGTTGAGATTATTCCGTAACACGAGTTGGGATCGTATCTTAACATTTTGGGTAGGTCTCATAATACCAAATACCTCCTTCGTTAAAAGTGTGTCCTCTTTGTGAAGGATACTGTCCATTTACCATGTTTCTGAGTGGAGGTGAGTTGAATGCATTTCTGATTCTAGTCTTGTTTTGGGTTGGTTGTTGGTTTAAAACCAGGTTTTACATTTAGTCAGAAATGTGGAGCAATGCTTGGTGGTGATAGGTTGACACAAACGGTAAAATGTAGACATTAATACGATGTTGCTGAAAGTATAGGGTCTCCACCGTTGTGCCTTTTGGATTGGGTGAAGTAAATTGTGGACACAGAGTTGCCTAGTGCTTTGCAGTGTACGAGTGTTTGGCAATGAAGAGAAGTGACATCATCAACTCTATCTTTGGTAAGTGATGCTTCATTGGTTTAGGAAATGGACTATTTCGAAGATATTGTTGAAAAGGTGTCGATAAAAAATTGTTGCTGGAGTAGTGAGACTTTCATTTGTGTGGGCCTCTGAAACACTTCAGATACCGCCGATGTGTTATTCTAGGATAGGTGGGGTGCCTTCGGCATTCTCTCCAATGCGCGTGGAAGTGGTTAACGAAACTTGCTCGAAGTTCTGATTTTGGGAAAAGCTAGAGTTCTGACTATAGTTACTTTATTTTCCAGAGAGAGGTGATATTTATGCTAGTGGCCCTGGGCCAATTAGCCTTCTTATAGATGTTGGAAGGGTATTGCTGAAGTTTTGGCTAATGAACTAAATTGATGATTACAATGGTGGCCTCACAACACCAGATTGTTTTTGTTATGGTAAGAAAAATATTGGATATCGTTCTCATTGCAAAAAGAGGTGTCTGTTTGGTCATGGAGGTTGTGGGTTTTTTTTTGTACTTGCACTATGTCTACGTCTGTTGTAGTTTTATTCAATGACACTAATTACGAGCTTCTCTTTTCTTACTTTCTTAGGGGCCAACTCATATTTACTGCATTTGTTTTTGGTTTTATTTATTCTTTATTGTGTATCCTGTGTGACCATGATTTTGAAGTAATTTGTTTGGTATGTTGATATTTAACGCGCTTACATGCGCTCTGCAAATATCTTCTTCACACCTTTGTAGTCAATAATCAATCGAAATGTATTATTTCACATCTAGAATGGAGACCCTAACGAGGCATCTTCCCTTCTCTGGACAAGAGTGACTACAGGAACTTAAGAAAATTGCAGTTAGGTTTGAGGAAAAGATTTATACTGCTGCTACAAGCCAGGTTTGCATTTACACTGGTACTTGATCATTGGTGGTGTTTGCCTTTAATTTCAGTATTGAGACATGGTTGGCTTCCTCATTCGTGAATTTGTCATGAGATATAAATGGTACATAATATTTTTATTGCAGTCGGATTATCTGAGAAAAATATCTCTTAAGATGCTGACAATGGAGACAAAGTCCCAAAATCCCATGGGCAATTTCTTGCAGTCCAACTCTGTCCGTAATAGCAAAAATCCCCCAGATCCAGGTAATAGGATAAAAGTGGTATGTGCTTTGTTGAGAGTATTATCGTTATATTGTCACTATTTTATATGATTGTAATATTTATACCTCTCTAAGGATGTGTTAGTTTTTTATGTTTTCATTAGGTAACTATAAATATAAGTTGAGAGTGAGAGGTATGTATACTTCTCTGCCTACTCTCATATTGTTCTCTCAGTTGTCTATTCCTAAACTAAACATGCTTCATGTAATAGCAATATTTTCACAAAGTGCTGACAAATTCCATTTTCCATCGCTGTATCTAAACCTAATATGCATTTCCCTGTACTTAAATAGTTTCTTTCTGCAAATTAGACATTGTGCATGTCTCGATGTCATATTCACTAGTGTTTGTGAACCTTAATTAACTATTACTATTTTGCTTCCCTTTCTCTGATTTTCAAGTGACAGGAAATGTGATAGCTTTAATTTTGCTAGCTATAATATGTTTTAGCACCAATCAGGGAATTGCCAAAACAAAAATTGCAAAAAGAAAAAAAAAAGGTGGATATAGCCTATATCTTTCAATTGAGTGATCTGCATTTTGCTATAGTGAACACCAAATTTACATCCAGCTGTTTTTCTCCATCAGGTAATTTGTTTAATTCCCCAGTATTATTTCTCTGAAGAGCTTTTCTTCAATCACAATCTTCCTTCCTTTTTGAACTAATAGTAGCATCATGCCAACTTCAAGGATCTGAGAAACAAAATGCACAATAAGATGGTCCGAGATTATGAGGACACACAAAATTAGAGATTGGATGTCGAATGTGAAAACTGACTCCTTTACGAATGACAATGGGAACATAAACATAGGAAACACATTCAGAAACACAAGGAGAAATAGTAAATGGAGAAGAAGAAAGTGACATAGGGAATACCTCAATATGTGCTTGGAGATTCAAACCCTAGATGGCATCTTTGATTATAATGTGTGACAGTAAGAAGATAATCACTCAAGTAAGATTTAAGGAGATTTATGGACATAACAAGGTTCCTCCAGTAACCTCAAGAAGATGCCATTTTTTTCCCCTAGTATCTCCATTTTGTTGGGGTGCATATGCACAGAGTCTGATGAACTAAGTCATGCCCATGAAGATAAGTCTAAAGACCAGCATAAAGATACTTGTCCCCATTGTCAGAACGAAGTGCCTAATGGGAACATGACCATGGGTTAACACCATTTTTGTGGAATGTCTTGATACATGAAAAAACATCTAATGTTTTTCAAATAATATCCCCAAGTTGTCTTATAAAAATCTTCAATAAAACTTAATGAACCAATAGAATCCACATAAAGAGACAATATGAGAAATGCCCTAAAAATTATTACGTACACTAGCAAAAGGTTTGAAACATTTATTAATGCTAGAAGTAATTGAAACACAATGATTTTTAGCAAGTTCATACGTTTCCAAGTGAAACATAGAGAGGAAAGTCGGTGAAGCCTAGGAAACAAGGATAAGTGATATGGGTATGATATGATATGATACGAATACAGCGATACGACAAAACTTAAAATAACAGGATATGGGTACACTCAAGATACGCCTATAATAAAATATATTTTATATTATATTATTATTTAATGACTTAAAAATGATAATTTTCAACAATTCTTTAACAGTAGTAAACAAAATTAGAAATGTTTACTTTGAAAAAGATCTAATATTGTCTCATTATGATATATCCATAAAATGAACATGAACAATTAAAGGAATCAAAACTAGATTTAACTAGTTGATTTATTTACAAGTATTAGTTTTTAAGATTATAGTGTAACTAACTCATTTTTTATAATCTTTTGACATGTAATAGTAGATAATACTTTAAAAACACTTGGTGTCTTCAAAATTAGATGGAATTTTGTTGATGTTTTGTATTGTATGTGAACTCAAAAGGAGAGGGTATAAATTAACATTAAAACTGTACATCTTGCTTCATGTTTAGAAGTCTTCGCGAAGTATCTACATATTTTATTAATTATTGGATATGTATGCGCCTCGTATATTCGAGTATCTGACGAGTATCGTATCCAATACGGGTACGTCGACCTTGATGAAGTATCCGTCTTTCATAGGGTGAAACAAATAAGAAAAAATAGATTTCAACAAATGAAATGGTGGATGTCCAAGTCGACTACGCCATGGCTAAATCTTCACAGTTGATCGTCTTTTGCGTCACCAAGTCCTAAAAGCATTGAAAGGGGGAAAATGTCAGGTTGGAGTTTAAATATCTAGTGATGAATGGTGGTTGAAAAAGGGTACATTTGACACTAAAGGTGGGGACATCATGTTGTAATAGAAACAGGACATTTGCTCAAGAGTTAAGACAGATGACATGGAGCCATTAACGACTTTGGTTTTGTCACTGCCTGAACAAATATGGTAAAATGGAAATAAAGTTGGACAACCAGTAATAGGATTAGATTTTCCTGAATTGATGATCCAGGGGGACTGAATAGTATTTGATACACTAGAAGAAGCAACCAACTTATTTGAATGAGCAAAGGAGGTGGAAGCAATGGTGGATGTACCCAGTTTAGGCAAAGATCATCTAAGACTCTCGATCTCATCCTTAGTAAGATTTTCTACCCTAATGCGAAAGGAATTGGGGTCCTAGTATGCTCGATTGTGATAGGGTGAGCACAATTGCAAATATTAGTGGTTGAACGACCGTTTCTATCTCTGAATAGATGCTAATCACTGTACTCTGGCATGTTTATTGTGTGTGTTGTGGCTTGTCACAAAAGTCACAAAACAACCTATTCTTATAATTGGAAAGGGAATCCATAGTCCTACTGTCGTCCCCACTCACTTTATAACCCTGTTGGGAAATTATATTATAGCTGATCTGTCCCCGCAACGTATTGCGTCATCACACCCTTCCTACTATTCTCACTTCAAACATATGCATTCACTTTTGTACTGGTTAGAAACATAAAGATATGATTTTGCTCAACCACCTGATGGATCTCCAAGCATTTACAGCCTAAAAATACTGATAATGATGTGACTCCTACCAGAAATCCCAACAAATGTCAAAGTAAGCAGCGAGAGAAGTATCACCCAGTGTCCTATTATGGATTTGACTCCTCAATTCATAAATCTAGGATATGTTCCCATCTTCGAGTTGGTCTGTGTGATTGCATCTCAAATTTCATTCTTGGTGTTAGCAAAAAGAAGCAGCCCTTGCTAATTTCTGATCTCAGGAACGTAACAACTAAGACATAATTATAGGATTTTCCCCTACCCATTTTTCAAACAAATGGTATCCTATGGTTCTTTGATCTTCTGTTCAGATATCTTATCTTTCATATACTTTTAGTAAAGAGCATCACAGACTGTGATCAAACTAGGTAGTTACGTCTATCCAATCTTACGGTGGTAGTTTGGAGTGCAGGATTTTTGTTTGGGGTCCTAGGGTTCCAATCTGATCCACTGTCCCCTTTTGTATATGTAATATGCTCTCCAAAAGAGCAAATTGGTATTTTTAGTTTTTTATTTGGTGAAGTCGACGATTACTGTTTATTTCTTCCATACACAGCAAAAAAATAAAAAACATTAAACATGCTTTGATACCATGTTGATTCTAGTACAAACCTATAATCTGGGAAGGAAGAAGAGGAAGAAGGAGAGAAGAAAATAGGTTTATATATGGCTGAAAAGAAAGTGATTGGGGTTCTCTCACTTGTATGTCGTTATCTATACTCACTCCAATATAGAGACCTACATACCCTTCAATACTTAAAAAAAATACTTATTTCAATACTGCAACCTTTCCAATCCATCCTAATTCATCCTTCCCATGCATATGAGCTTTTTGCATCCCTCACTATGACTTTCGAGTCTGCTCAAATTTTTTCCCCTAGGACAAGAAGTATGATGGAGCCTATAGGTTTTAGGCTAGTCCCTAGCTTACTATATAAATAGAAAAGAGAACTTTTCTGTATCAAATAGTCAAAAGGTTACTTAGATAAATTTGTATTCCTACTAACAGCACAATTCTTGTTTCCCCTAAATGTGTAATGGATTCAAGGATCTACATTATTTTGTTTTTTCTTTGGTGAACTTACGAAGCATATTGAACATGATGTGCTTTTATGCATGCGTATCCAGACGAGGTACTGAGGGAGTTTAGTTTACACAAGTGGGGCTAAGTTTAAGTTCTTGGAAAGATAATCAAGAAACTAAATATCTTAAGTTGAAGTAGACCTAAGACAATAAGCATTAAGAGTAACTTTTAACTTTTTAAGCAATATTTGAAGTGGGTTGATGGTGTAACAAAAGTTTGATGGCAAAGGATATACCTTAGAGCTACCCATTTTCAAAAATATGATGGATTAATTATTTATGAGGAGATGGGGGGTTCAGGAGGGCATCACCTATTAAATTGATATACGACAGATTGAACAAAAAAATCTTCAAGTATGTTGTATGATTGTAGAATTCCTGCGATGTAGATGGGAAAATTCTTCAAACAGGTATAAAACCAGCTATGCCTGTGGTACATAATGGAAGGCTGGCAGCCGACGTGATGTTTTAAAAAAGGTGAAAATATTGATGTGTAGATGGATGAGTTTTGTTACCAGAAAATAAATAATAAGAAAACCAATGCATTTAAAGTAAGTTAGGATTTGTTGTGGGTGAAGATAAAATGAGAGTGGCTTGTCAAGGATGCTAAACATGCTTGACATGTTGGATGAGTTTTGTCATGTGAACATGCTTGACATGTTGGAAAGGAGTGATTTGGTCCAAATGCCTGCTGGAAACCACGTGGTACATGAAAAACAATCCCACATTAGATAAACACAGGACAATGGCTTCATATGCAAAGATTGGACCAAACCACCCCGAGCTTGAGGTTAAGCTTTTGAGCCAAGCTTGAGTTCTATTGTATATGAGCCTATATTCCAATATTTCAAGGTGTTGAGGAGACAAGAAGAAGGTCCAAGAGGACATGCCAAGGATGTTGAAAGCCATGTCTGCCTTTTGTTTAGATGAGGATAGGGCTTTTTAAAATTCTAAGACTTGACTGTAAAAAAGTGCTTGTGTGGCTAGCCATATTAAGCCATGTTGAGTTTAACCATATCCAATATTTATCTAAAGTTAGTGTGTGGACTGAATATCAATTTCTAAAAGGTTATCCTAGAATATATTAAAAATTGGGCTTATGCCATTAAAAACATATCCTAGAATAGATTCTTTATTAGGTTTACTCCATTGAAGAACAAGGAAATGTGGATGATTCAGATAATTCAAATATTGAATCACCATGACACCATCTACTCCAAAAGTTTAAGTTATCAAACACAGAGAGAGTGTAATTTAAGTATTTATACTTTAAAATGCCTCTTTACATGTTGGCTAAATTTTGGGTTTAACATGTAAAAATATTTTAATCATTCGGGTGACGGCGAGATTCGAACTATGATACCATGTTGAACAATTATCTACTCTAGAAGCTTAAACTGTTATAGAGAGTATAATTTAAGTACTTATACGTCAATACCAACAAAGCAATGCGCACTTACAAACACCTTGAACCACCATGTTTTCTATCAAAATAGATCTCTTGGAACTCATCTGCGCTAGCTTTATCCAAATCTAAAAATGGATAATAGCTTTCTTTAATTCACATTCCACTAGCAAAAGAAATATTAGCAATTACTTATTTATGATCATGACTATAATGACATATAGAAATATATTGTCAGCAACGATGTACATATTAGGTAAAATAATTTTTGATTGAGATCGAAAAAGGATTGGATAAGCTTAAATTGAGAGTTTCAGTAGAATAGTCATTTAAGAGTGTGATTATGAAATTTTTTTAGAATTTTAGTTGGAGACTTGACCAATAAATATTTATGTAGAAAGTGATATTAGTAAAATTGTTCCTAAGCGGAGAATTTGTGTGTTTATTGATTTAATCCTTGCGAGGATCTAGTATCTCTTTTTTTTTTTTTCTATTTTCTAATTTCTTCTGTTTCCCGTTCTATATCAAAAAATCCCTACTATTTCATTGTAAAATGTGATAAGAATAGAAGTGTTTCTTTGTGGAGAATGTGTATTTCTTGATCTAATCCGTTCGAGGATTTGATATCTCTTCTTATGTATCTGTTCTATTATCTTCTTTCTTCCTCTTCCGTCCTGCATTATTTTGTTTTCGAAAATAGATTTAGCCCTTGAACTTTCTAGCTAGTAATCCATTGGGGTGCTCATTATTGCCATTCTGTTGAGTTCCAAGTCACATTTTAATCGAATATTGTTCTCATTTGCAGCGCACTAGCTAAAGAAGCCTTTCAGAAGTGTACTACATCTACGACTGTGACCATGTTTAATATTGTCAATATCGTTGTTGGAGATGTCTCTTTTGGGTGCATTAATACGCAATACCGGTTATAAAAATGGACCAACTTCTAGATTCCATTCAACACCTGATTTAACCAAATGGTTATTCGTGCCAATTGCAAACCAGAATAGGAATTTTGTGATATTGTATCCATCTGATGCTTTGGAGTCATGGTGGATCTTAGCCCCAGAGGTATGACCTGCCAATCTATGCTGGGACTCAGGGTTTAGAACCTCAGTGGGGGCTTAGGGATTAGGGCGTTGTTAACTCAATCTATGGGCTGAGATGAGGTAAATTACCAAAAAGAAAGAGGATTATAAGAGCAACTCAAAAAGGCTAGCTAAAGCCCTTTTTTTTAGCAATTTTAGATAGTTTCTTCATGAAATGTGGCTCTAACAGGCTAGCTATTTTCCAATCTATTTCCCATAACCCCATTTTCACTAGCTACATCTAACAAAACTCCCAAAAAATTCATTAAATTTCCCCCCCAAAAAAATCCAGCAACACTCCCAAAAAATTCAACAAAACTCCCCAACAATCCAGTACACTGCTCCCAAAAATCTGACTTCGGTTATTTGTGTAATTTGAGGTGATTTTGTTTTGGATTTTGTGATTTAATTGAGAGAATTTGGTTTGAGAGTAATAATTTTCGGGAGGTGAGTTCTCTCTTGTAGCTTATAATTGATTAAATTTGTACAATATATAGTTGAATTGCTATTTTTAAAATTTTATTATTGAAAGTTACTTAAAGTTAGTTGAAGTAGTTAGCAAAAATAGATAATACAATATTTAAATATATTTTGAGTAGTTATTTTAGATAGCATTGTTGGAGATGCTCTAAATGATGGTTTCGAACATAATCTCTAGTTTCTAGGGTACCTTTCCAAGGGAAAAAATATTTAAATAATATTTTGACTTGAATATTTCTTCACTATGTTTACCCAGAAACCTTCAGGTCTGTGATGTATGTCCAGCCCAATTTTTCTAGGTTTTAGAACTGGAAAAAATTCATAATATCAAGGATTCCTTGGGCCTTTAGCATGCAAATGCTGTAGGGTTGGGGGCATATACCATTTATAATGTGGAGTATTTGATAATGTTCTAAGGGAGAGGACTGGGTGGGTACTATAAGAGGACTACATATCTCCTTGTTAGACCCAAAAAAAAAAAAGGAAATAAAATATAAGCAAGAGCTGCTCTTCCAGTTTGTTAACAAATTAGTAGCTTGTATAACTAGATATCTGCAAAAGAGTTACGAACAGTGTGGATAGAAACCACGTTTACCTTCCCTTTGAAATACATTTTCTGAAATTTGAGGAAATATTTATCAACTTTCTGGCTGGAGGGTCTGCAATAACAGTATAAATTAAGTTAAATTAAGTATATGCTTTCCTAAAAGCACTTAGGACAGGAGTCCGTATTTAGAATTTTGTCATCAGGATCTTTGTTAAGTTTTTTTAGGTTTTCACTTCTCTGTTCGCCATCCTTATATTTTCCCCACTTGTACTATGTCTGATAAGATTTTAAGCTTATCACAAAAGAATGGCAAAAGAACTTTAACAAGGTTGAGGACATGTGCAAAAAGAGAAAATTATATATGTGATTTCTCATATGTTCTTTCTTATATTTTTCCTAAACTAAAAGCGATAATTGATCCCCCTCCTTCAGATATGCTTGCTTGAAATATGATTTTTTTTCCCGTGACGTTCATTTGCCTCTCACGTTACAAATAGTCAATGCTCATAATTCAATTTGTTAATTGTTTGGTTTGCATTCCTTAACCTGTTAACTTCATTTTTTTCCCACTCTCCCTGTATTGAATAGCATCCCAGAGCATTCAGTCCCAAGTTAATAGCCAAGGACAACCACTTCCCAATCCCATGGTGACTAATCAGTCTCAAGCACGACAGCAGATATTATCCCAAAACATTCAGAGTAACATCACATCAACTGGAGTGCAAGGTGCTGTTGGTTTAACATCTGCATTACCACCCATTGGCAATTTAACTCAGAATATGGTGCCGAATGCAGTTGGCCATAATTCCAGTTTGCAGAACATTCAAAACATCTCAGGGGTTTCACAGAACTCTGTAGGAACGATGGGGCAAGGAGTGCCTTCCAATATTTTTCCCAATTCTCAGATTCAGGGAAGGCAACAACAGGTTGTTCCCCAACAGCAACAGCAGCAGTCTCAGAATTATCTTTACCAGCAGCAGCAGCAGCTACAACAGCAGCTTATGAAGCAGAAGCTCCAGCAGGGAAGTGTCCCACACTCCCTAATGCAATCTCACATCCAGCAACAGCAACAGAACCTCCTGCAATCAACTCAGTTGCAGTCTTCTCAGCAATCTGTCATGCAGCCTAATATGATGCAATCAACTCCGCCCACTGGCCATCAACAGAATCAACAGTCTTCCATTCAACAACCCTCCCAAGCAGTGCTTCAGCAACACTCTCAATCTGTCCTCAGACAACAGCAGCAGCCGCAGCAAGCTGCCATTATGCACCAACAGCAGACACAGATGCAGCAACAGCAGCATCTGGTGGGGCAGCAGCCCAATGCTGCAAACATGCAACAAAACCAGCAAATTGGGCAACACAACAGCATTCCTGATATGCAGCAGCAGCAACAACAGCAACAGAGGTTGCTAAGTCAGCAGAATAATCTTCCAAACCTACAGCAGCAGCAGCAGTTAATGGGTCAACAAAACAACCTCACAAATATGCATCAGCATCAGTTGGGACCTCAAAGTAATGTTTCGGGGCTCCAGCGGCAGCAGTTAATTGGAACTCAGTCTGGTAATTCTGGCATGCCGAGTAATCAGCAATCTGTACACATGCTGCAACAATCTAAAGTTCCAGTTCAGCAACAAACCCAGCAGAACACACCAACTTTGCTACACACTCAAGGGCAGCAGTCACAAGCACAGCTGCAGCAGCAGATGATGCCACAGATTCAATCACAGCAAGGACAGTTGCAACAGCAGTTAGGCTTGCAACAGCAACAAAGTACCCTACAACGAGATATGCATCAAAGACTTCAAACATCTGGCCCCTTGCATCAGCAGCAGAATGTAATGGATCAACAGAAGCAGCTATTCTACTCACAAAGACCCATTCCGGAGGCATCATTGAGTATGTATTTGTAGTTATGCAACTTCGATCATGTTCTTATTCTCCATTTCTTCTTCTAATCTTCTGCTTTTGTTATTCTTCATTTCATATATGCAGAGTGTTGATTTTTTCTCCTTGCAAATTTTTACCTTTCATTTCTAATTATACTAACCCAGGAGTTAATAAGATGATGCAATATGCTTTATTAAGATTATCACATTATTTTAAGAGCTTGGTATTTTAACTAGTTTTGAGTTTAATCATGAGTCAATCAGCAATAGATGGTATTTCTTTCTTTTTTTTTTTCATTGTGATAAGATGGAGTCAGAGTATTTTTAACAAATTCCATTCTTGATATCAAGTTATCTGGTTTTTCCTTTGGATCCTCTTTTTGGAAATAGAACCCATCCGGGCTGGACCGGGGAGGGAGAGGGGGGGGGGGGGAGAGATT